TTAAAACCGATCCTCAACATGACAAGAAGTATGATGAAAAGCAAGAATATGCCGAAGACGTACTGGGCTAAAGCTGTTTCGTGTGCCGTCTACTTGATGAATCGGTGCTACACGAATAGTGTTCATGGAATGACGCCACAAGAAGCTTGGAGTGGCGTGGCTACAAACCATCAATTCACACTTGCGAGTTTTTTGAAGCATTGCTTACATGCATGTCCCGGATGAAAAGCTCACGAAGCTCGATGATAAGAGTGCAAAATACTTATTCATCGGTTATGATAATTATTCAATAGGCTACAAGTTGTATAATCCAAACAACCGAAAACTTGTAATAAGCTGAGATGTAGAGTTTGCAAAGAAGGCGTTTGGGACTGGAGTGGACAAGATAAAAATGATCAATATAGTCCATTATTTAACGAAGATGAAGAAGGCATGGTGCAACCGACACCACCATCAACACCACCGCCACAAAACATACAAGGTGATGAGGCGAGCTCAAGTGGTCCACGAAGATTTAGAGACCTACGAGAGCTTTATGAAGCTACAAAGGAGGAAACAAATTTGAGTGCATTTACTCAATTCTTTTTGTTCGCGGAAGCTGAACCCGTAGGATTTGATGATGCGGACCTAGATGAAAAATGGAGGAAGGCCATGAATGAAAAAATAAAATCAATTGAGAAGAATGATACGTGGGAGCTAACGCCGCTGCCTGAAGGAAAAAGCACAATTGGTGTTAAATGGGTGTATAAAATTAAAAGAAATGCAAAAGGCAAGGTTGAAAAGTATAAGGCGAGTCTAGTCACAAAAGAGGACGGGAACGACCTTCGAGCTTTACCTGTTAACACATCCGGTTAAGGCTACCCACTTCGGTGGATCTCTAACCCAATTTTTTGGGATTTTGGGATAGAGATAAGATGGCGGATATTCTTGGTGAGGGTGGGGGTTTCAGTAGACTAGAGATTGACCAGATCCGACAGATTCCCATTTTGGAGGGAGGTTTGGATGGCATGAGGCGGAGACTTACATTTTCGGGTGCATTCTCTACGTCATCGGCCTGGGGAGATGTGAGGCTGGGAAATCGGCCTAACTTCCTCTTCGGGGCCATCTGGACCGACCTTCTCACCCCGACCATTTCCGTCTTTTTGTGGCATCTCCTATTACGGCGCATTCCCATTGACACTGTGATGCTAGCGAGAGGGTTCTCCTTCCCCTCCCGTTGCCATTGTTGTGCTGAGACCGGTACCTTTGAGATCGAGACTTTTACCCATCTTTTCCTTGAGAGTGAGATTGTGAGGAGAGTATGGGAGCACTATGTCAGATATACTCATATACCCCTACCCACTATAGACAGTTTTTTTGAGCTCCTAAGGTTTTTCTCACACCGCACACACAGTAGACACGTGGGCTCCTTATTCCTTGTCTGATCCTATGGGCCACGTGGCCAGAAAGGAATAACGCGAAGCATAAGGATATTATATTTTCTTGTGCTCACATCATTTTGCAGGTTTACAGACACCTCTCTCTCCTCACCGCCCTGGGTAGACTCACGACGAGAGACTGGACAGGTTGTACATCGCCCCACCGCTTGAGGCCAGCGCCCCCTTCACCTGTCCAGCACCCACGACCCAGGACCGTTTTTTGGCTGAAACCCAAGGCCCCTTGGGTTAAGCTAAACACTGATGGTGCATTCGACAGACATACCAAAGCTGCTGGAGGAGGGGGCCTGATTAGGGATCATGGTGGAGCACTCATCTCTGCCTTCCATGGGCCACTCCGGGCCTCCTCGAGTTATGATGCAGAGATTCAGGCGCTCCAGATTGGTCTTGAGATTGCCGCCTCGATCTCCTCCCATATCTGGATAGAGATGGATGCTGCAGCTGTCATTACACTTTTGACATCTGGCCACCAGGGCTCATGGCAGATCCAGCATCCCTTTATGCGCATCAGACACACCCTCCGTCCGATACATTACCAGGTCTCACACATATTGCGAGAGGGGAATCGGCCCGCTAATTTCATTGCTAGCACGGGGGCAGCTATACCCTAGAGACGCATCCTTCATCCTGAGGACATTCCCCTCCGGCTTCGGACGCTCATTCGGATGGACCAGCTAGAGTACCCATCCTTCAGATTTGGACGACGCCACCACCTGACCCTGACTAGACTTGTCGCAATGGACCTCATGCCAGGTCACTCTGACCAGGACGACCTTTTATGAGGACTTGATTTTAGATCCACATCGGATATTTTGT